TTTTCATTGAATTATTTAGTAATCGTAGAAACGCACGTATTGTTATGTAATTTTCTGTTAGGCACTAGCCATATGAAACACAATCGATGAAATATTCGGAAATTTATCGTATTAACAACAATATAATCTAAAACTACGTTTCACGAGAGATAAAAATAAGTTAAAATTAAGTGAAAAATAATATATATATATAATTCATTCACCGGATGTAATTTATTGTTTGTTCGCTTATTTATTTTGTGAAAATTGATTTATTTTTATGAACGTAATAATAACTTCGGGGCACTTTTGCGAGCTATGGCGGTTAAAACTACTGTATATAGTGTATGTAATATGTACACACATATATTTTATATGTATATTACATATATATATATATATACGTTTATACTTCTGGGTGAAAAAAAAATCGTTCTACTTAAACAAATTTGCTTGACGAGAAAATATAAAACTCACCACTGTAGTCTTACTACACACCGAAACCATTTATAAAAATAACTCGAAGAACAAAAAAAAATTTGAAAAACTAATATTATACTGTGTTGAAACAAAAACTCTTGTCTTGGTGCTACTCGAGTAACACTCTTGTGTCTGTTGTTCAACGTATATTACTGTATCAAAAAAAGAAATACACAGAACAAAAACTGGGGAAGTCGTCTTAATTCTAATTAATGACATCGAAAAAGACTTTTTATATGTCTTTCCCGGATAATGAAAATGGTTCGTTGAAACTAGCGTTTAAAAAAAAATAACGACATACGTGAGTAATAAAAATAATAGGGTTTAAATTTTAAAACATTTTTCGTATAAGTACTCAATTTGCCTTGGACTACCGAAATAAAAATAAAGTAGCAAAAAACAATTTCACGTAGAGTTTCACATTATGTTTTTTTTTTCAACGGCTTGAAATTATTTATGACTCGTACTACTTACAATATATTTTATTTTGATTTAGCATCCTGCGCACATATACGATTTTATTTTTACCGCAAAAACTTGAAAAATAAACCCAGTATGAATGTGAATGTAAACTATTCGTCTTAGTTCGTCCACTTCAAAGTAGTTTTATATTGTTATTATTATTATTATTATTATTAATTTTAAAATACTGATAAATCACCACATCTGAAAAACGATCCCGTACTAAGCTTAATATATTGCATTATATTTATAGGGTGGTTTTTAAATTTTAAGATCTTGTAAAAAGAATTTATGAATAAATATTGTGACCTCTCTCGCTGTGAAATAGTATTTTTTAAATATTCAGAAAAATTAAATTAAGTATTTTTATTAAGGATATCCACAAAATATTATCAAAATCTTCACAAATATTATATCGTGTATACTGGTACTGCCTAATAGCAGTAAATATATATATATATTTTTTTCAAAATTTACTGTTAATATTCCTATAATATTTCATAAAAAATAAAATTTTCATTGTTGATATTGATGAAACATTCTCGGAAATGTATTAAAATAACATTTAATGTTATTTTGCTAATACATATTCGGGGCTATGTATATTATATTATAACATTAGATATTAACGTTTTTAATATTATTCGAATTGTATATTGTTAAATTATATCATATGATATCGTCTACAAAATATTTAAGTAAACCGTTAATAAAAACTCTGAATGACTAACAAATATAATCAAAATTGACATTGTTGAAAAATATTGTTATCAATTTCATCATTTTAGGCAGATTCTATAAATAATTCCCTAAAAAATACCTTTCTGATAACTGAATAGTATCCGTTTTTTGTTTCTTATAGGACTACCTACGTATTTTTTTTTTCTTAGAAAATTACTAAAACATATTAACATACTTATTATTATCTATTATACCTAACAAAACTTTTTTTTTCTGAACTGCAATAGTAATCAAAAATAATTGTTTTTTTTTTTTTTTTTTTATTAAACCATACAAACAACAATCTAATTTTACCTTGACAAAAATTGATTATTCTCAGTTACGTAATATAATAAACATTATTAACTCTGGAAAGTATACAACGGAAAAAACAATTTTCTACAACAGTCAGTGAAAACCGACAGTTGATAAGACACAAATAATCATAGAATTGTGGTGTAGGGATTAGAACAATTTATTTATTTTCTTTGTATTTATGTTTTTACATTTTTGGATAGAAGGAATAGTATTACTTAAGTTTCATGTATCATCCAGCCCACAACCGACATGAAATTTGATTTTAGTAATATTCTAGGATGGTATTTTTTTAATTTCTATCTATAGAAAAACCTGAGAACTTAACAATGATTGATTTTTAAATAAAACCTCATTGGTCTTTTTTCAATCCACAAACTAATTAAGGTTATGTTTGGAGTACTCTTATTATTTCTAATAATTTCTTCTGATGATTTAAAATTAATAACAGACTGAAAATCATACTACACATATATCCGATTCTGTAAATGGTGTTGATATTTCCTAAACGATTGACATAAATTAATCACAATTTAATGATTTGAATCGTGTTTCCTTCGCATGTTCACGATATTAATCGATAAAACTATTTTTAGTATATTTTTATTTCATTTTCATAATACAAAGGTATTTCTATTTTAACTAGGTATACTTTTGATTTATTATTATATTTTTTTTCTCTCAGGGTAAAAGTTTTTCTGTGAGCCAGGTAAATTTGCTATCGTACATTATCGTGGTTTGACCTTTTTCACCCATTTCCAGCTCATAATGTATTCATGTCCATGTACAGGTATATGTTTTTAAAATACAAAAATGTAACTAAATTATTAAATAATATGATTTCAAATAATTACGTAAATAACTAATATAATGAATATTCTTACTTAAAATCATTAAACAATATTTAAAAAATAACACTAAGTTTTTCGAAAGATATTCTTTTACAAATAACAATTATAATTAATATATATATATATATATATATATATATATATATAAATGAACTGAAAAATCATGAAATATTCAATTTATTATCTTCAATTGCGGACATAATAATACAATTTATTTAGTACTTTGACGGTTAAAATGTATATTTTAATCTAATTATTCGTTAATATTTTGTTAATACTCAAAGTGGTTTTTGAATCAAATCCTCGTCACGGTTAATACGATAAATTCGTCTGACAATAAAACGACGAAAAAAACATATTGATATTATAATTAAAAGTAAACAATTGCCTTATTTTATTAATTAGGTACTATTATATTATATTAATGAATATGTTTTATCGATTTTTAAAACCAATTATTCATAAACTTAAATAATATAATTCCATTAACTTTTCATAAACATCATCGTTGAAAAAATCATAATTGAGTAAAGTTAATTTTTGAAAAGAAATTTTTTTTACTGTCTAATAACTTTTAATCCAAATGGATTATGTCAAACAACATTCGGCATAAAAACGAAATAAATAAGTATCTATAAAATGAACACATCTTAGTATCACATTTTAAATTAAACATAAGGTCTTTTTCTTGATAAAACATTTGAAAATAATAAATTTTCAGTTCTGTAGATGAATTCTGTAGATGGATTTAATAGAATGTGAAAATAACAAACGGATGACCCAGCAACTGGCATTCGTGGATTAAAGATTAATAATGGAATATTAACATGGCTTAAACAAAATATTTAAAAAATATCACGCAAACGACGACGTAGACACGCTAGTTTTAACCAAGAATATGGTTTTGTTTTTTTATATACATATAGTATGTACAAAATAAACATAGTCGTCTTGAATATAATAAAACAAGCAACGGGTAAACGTCCTATAGAGATTTTCCTCACCAGCTCAATCCGTTAAAAAAGTAGGGTGGGACAAATGGTCTAGCTTGTGTCCACTTAACGACGCCAGAGTTTTTAAGTCCCGAATTCTTTAGTACTATTGTTCTTATATATATAATTTTTCTTCCTTTTTGTCGTCTTTTTTTTTTCGTCTCACTACTGGATCAAAATTTCAAACAGGCCACGATTGTCTGATACATGACAATTGTCGGCGAGAAATCTTCACGCCGAACGCTATAGAAAAACTGGGCTATTATTAATGCATATCATTTTTTTTTTTTTTTTTATCTTTTTTATTGCTTTCATTTGCAATATTAAGTAAGTACGTCGATTTAATAAATGGTAAAACAAAGAAAACGCGTAACTCCAGTTTGCCCTTTTTATAATATTAAAGTAGAACGGTGATTATTTTTAAAATAAGTTACTCGTTTTTTCACTCATTATTTTTGTTGTAATGTTTGACATTTTCAACATTTTTTTCAACAATACGTCAACGTTGGCGAAACGGTAGCTCATTCTGGTACCGAGCAAATAAACCCCCTATATGTGTGTATAGGTGTATACGGCCTGTGACAACGACGATGACGATGACAATGGACAGTGACCAAACAAAAAAAAAAAAAAAATCGATAAGGAAGTGAAAAAAACCTCGAATAATAGCGAGTAGAAATTAAACTCTACTATTTATATTTATATACAATATATACAAACAGTTATACCGTACAAGAAAGCCGAGTAGCATAGAAATATAATATACAGCGTACCGGATGCGGGCAGCAACAGTTTGTTTTCCACAACTGTTTTCCGAGTAAACTTATAGGTATTTGTTTTCAAGTACGTAAAATTATTTAAAAAAAAAAAAAAAGATGGTTCAATAAAGATTTTCTGTCAAATGCAATTCACTCATAAATATCTGTGGGCTTATATTAGTGTGGCAGGGAATTATTTTTCCTTTTTTTTTTTCATTTTCTTCTCTTAAACAGGATATCCACACAATTATTTCGCATGAGTCAATTCTGCTATCTGCACCCAATTAAATCGACAAAAAAATAATCAAACATATATATCGAACAACAATACTTGTATGGTGTATATATATCTATCACATATACGTTATTATATACGATTAATAATGTAATATTATTTTACTTTATCTTATTTATATAATGTTAATATTTTTTTTTTTTTACAGAATGGAAGAGGAAGTGGAGAAAATATCAACAGAGCAAATGGGTAAATAATAATAGTAATAATAATAATAAACATAACTTGTTTAAGTTCATACACTCGAGCATACGTCTCCCGGGGTTAAAAACAAAAAAAAAAAAAAAATTAGTTCTAGCAAACGTAACATCATCATGATTTTGTGTTCGACATCTGATAAATAAGCCAAATCCTGATGTAAGATATATTGACAACAAACATGCATTTATTAATAAAACATACAATGACAAGTATAGTAAATGCCAACGAGGATATTATATTCTTAAGTCTGGGGTCACTTATATCATGAAGAAGATAAAGGATAATAGTTTCTAAGATTGGGATATTCGTTGGAGAGAGGTTTGAGGGTAAATATAGGACGTTTGTTGTGTTAACAATTTGACGGAGGAAACGGGACTAGTCATGTTAGTGAAAGCTGCATCAAGTTTAGCAGTATGATATTCTGAAATTAATCAGAGACAACAATGAAGTTGAATCCTACTCTTTAGACAAAGGCTTAAAGGAGAATAGGGTATATTACCATTATTAGTGCACCTCCGGTCGGCATTGCTACGTAAAATATTGTTATAAGAAAAATATTATTAATTGACGTTCTGACAGTGAAAAAAGTCTCAAAACCGAACAGATACATGGTATGAACAAATATTCTCGAAAGGATCGCGCGGAATACAATCGAATTACAATGATCCACGAAAATATAATTATTACGACACACATAAAAGTTGATTTTCATCTTGAGCAGCGCGGCCAGGAGTGTGTTTATCAGATTCCAGTATAGGCGTGAGTATACAGATAAGCAACGGAGTAAAATACTTTCAGCGAAAGCGATCTAAAAAGTATAATGCAGTTGTCGTGTTTACAATATAGATTAAACAGTAACAGAGTATTATTATTATTATTATAATCAGATTGTAATGTACATATTTAAAGTTATTCAATTACTTTTGTATAGGATGTTTCAAAAATGACGCAGGACTTAAATCTGCTATCATTTAAATTAATTTCTTTTAAAAAAACTTAACAAATATATCATTCTCTTCTGGAAAAGTTAAGGTTTAACATTGAAAAACAATATTGAGCATATAACCCTCCCTATTAGCCTTACAGACGATTATTCTTTCCGTGTAAAACGTACCATTACTCGATCGCACATTACCCCATCAAATTCGTTGAGGACACGACGAATTTCTTGCTTAAGTTCATTAAGACATTTCGAACTGTTTTGGTAAACTCGTGACTTAGTTTATCCCTATAAGAAAAAATCACACGGCGTCGTCGCAAGATCGAGGTGGGTAGCTATGACCAGGCAACGAGATTAGTCTGTCCGAGAACTTCTCATGTAGCAGAGGGATTGTTTCTCTTAAAGTGTGACAAGTTTACACCAAACATTTGTTATGTTCATTTGGTCTTAATAAGGCCAAAGAAAATTACTAGCTCAGTAGGTAGTCTTGTATGGGTTGTTACTTGTTATAAATTTAATTAATAGCCGATTTAAATTCTGCGTTATTTTTGAGACATTCTTTATAACCTCACAGAAGCCGAATTTTTACACATACACGTGCACGCACACAAATCGCTGTTAGGTTTAAAAGTACGTGTTAACCCGATGTTCCATGCGTTGTTATGTGTTCCCCGAACACCATCACCCACGCGGTATGTACCCGTTGCACGTAGCCGCCTCGCGCGACCGATGATGGCTTTAAAGAGCTTTATAGGGTTAGTCCATTGAATCTTTGAGTCCCGTGTTCCTATGTGTGCGCACGCGAATGAAAAGGAAAATATAATATAATAGCGTCACAAGAGTGTGTATACGTACTCGTATGCGGAGGTGGTGTATTTTGTATGTAATCCGTAAGTGCACTTATAAGCCACGCGCGAGACGTTAAAGAAGGAGTGAGAAGCGGTGTGGTGGTGACCTGTCCTGATGACAAACTTTCGATCCTCAAATAGTATTATTTGGCTGAGAGATAGGATCAGAGGAGCAGCAGCAAAGAAATATTATTTTATGTTTATTTATCAGTTGACGACACTGAAATTCGTCGTCTCCTATGGAATACGATAAATGTAAATAGACGAAATAAATCCGATCGGTATGTTTGAATATACGTAATATGAGTACAACTGTGCCTAAACCTACCCAAACGAGGGAAATGTGTAAATAATACATTCTTCTTCTACTTCTTCGCCTTTCTCCCAACTATTCGGGGTCAGCCACCCTTGTTCTAGACCTCCACTCGTCTCGATTTTTTTCATCCCCTAAGTACACAACAACGGCTCTCATATCATTCTCAATCATATCCAACCATTCGTGTAAATAATACGTTAAGAATAAAAATTAAAAATAAACATCGAATGCACAATCGATAACAACATTGTTCCACATAGCCGATATTTTTCTTTGATCCGCTTTAAATAAATTCGCGACGAATTCGACAAAACCAACTTTTAATTCTTACTATATATGTCGTATAAAATTCATTATTAATTGCAAATAGAAATACATATCACAAAGTGTCACTAATGGGTTTACTTTCTCACTCACGCCTTCTTTCTATTTTTATTTATTACTTCTTTTATCAAAAAAAATTACTTACTGAATAAATATTTGTATAAATTATAAATATTAATTTAAATAAACCAAAACAAAAAAAAACTGTAAATTATAGATATATATAAACAGGGTGGCACTAACAAATATTGATAGGAGAAAGTGGATTATAATTTATAATTAATAAAAATATAATTAATAAAATATAATTTATAATTTATAACTTATAAATATACAAATTGTCCGACTTCTTTTTAAAACAAAAATTTCTATAATACTAATATTACTTAATTTGTTAATGACTATCGACTATATAAATAAATCATGCTTATACCAATTATTATACCAATTTATTGTATTATATTACACCGATAGTGGTATTGATAGACTTCAACAATTTTCCCAAGCCTATTGATTTTATATTTAACTTGACCGCATATCACAAGTCAGTTTTGTGGAATTCTCTAAAGCCTTTTGAGGTGTGGGCAAAATATTGTAAGCAATAAGTTTGAAATGGTGTTAAAAAATAAAAACGAATAACGAAAAACCAACAAAAAATTACCAAGAGGTTTAAAATAATGAAATACATGTAATTTTTATGTATATATTTTAGCCACCCTGGAGACAATCCATTTTATAGCAACATTGACAGTATGCCAGATATTCGACCCAGGAGGAAATCCATCCCTCTTGTCTCAGAATTGGTAAGCAAAATATTTTATATTAATATAATTTAAATTCATTCCCCCTCCCGTTGAAACTTATTGGTAACGTAAAATCCCGAAAATTTGAATATTCTCTTCGAGTATACAAAATTTTTGTGAAGTAAATTATTAAAATTCAACCGAGAAACGAGTGTGCCCGGTGATTTTTTGGTAGTGGATATTTGTGTACAAATTTTCGCTTCTAAGTGTATTATACCCTATATTATAATTTCTTCATGTGAGATGGTTTCTCTTATCCTGATGTTTTATGTTGTTTTTTTATGTATACCTATGAATGTTTTTTTTTTTTTTGCTGCTATTCCACGTGTTCTCATCATGTTTCCTATGTAAAATATATTATATTCTTTAGACTTCCTATATAGAGTTTTTTTTCAAACGCGAATTCTTCATTTTAAACGCTATGATCATTTATTATTTAAGGACTTACACATTTTATCATTTCCATACAATATATTATAATGTATGTACAAATATCTAGATACATATATGTATGATATCTAATTATATAGGTACTTTAACTCATTAAACGGGATAGGGCTCATTATTTTTATTTTATTTTTAACAAAAACATGTAAACTAACTAATTTGTGTTATATTGTCTGTTGTCTGTGATCTTCACGCATCGATCCAGGTTCTCAAGGTATAGCGCTCTTTTTTTAAATTTTTTAACATTTATTTAGAGAAAAATATAGAGCACGCAATTAGATCTGGTGACGTGGTTTTTCGTCAACGAAAACACACATTCACTAACTCATACACATACACCATTCATATAAACAAAAACACACATTGCTTTAGCACCAAACTATTTTTATTATAACAGTAAATTTATAATTTCTATTTCCTAGAAATTCCAAATTATTAAAATTACATTAGAGGTAGAAAAAAATTAGCTAAAAATAGTACCTATATATATTGTTTTATGTACCATACACTTTTGCTTAGTTTTTTCTATTAGCTTTGTTTGTTTATTTATTTTTATTTTTCATATATTTATATTATACGTAGGTATAAATGTATTTTTTTAATATATATTTGTATTTGTATGTATTTTATACAGTTTTCAGCGTATTAACTTAATAATATTTATTTTTTTTTTTAAATAACGCTTTATTTAGATATAGATTTAAACGATTTAAATTTTATTTATATTACGATTTAATAACGATTTATTATTTTTATTGATTATTTTTTTGTGTCCAAAATCCATTTCCAAAAAATTTTTATTTCTATAATACATCAATCAATTGTAATTAGTAATTATACTATTTTACTACCCATGCGTCATATTATGAGTGCATATATTTTGAGATAATTAATAATTTTTATGACTTTTATTTGTAATTTGAATAGCAATTTGTACGCAGTCGTACATTTCAAGTGCTAAAATTACTTTCAAGATACGAATTGGATCCCAGTCTTTACATTTATAATCACTAATATATATGTATATATATGAATATACTGAAATGTCATATTACATGTATATCAACATTAACTAAATGTACCCCCTTTATTTTATTATTACTCTGAATAATACGTTTATATTAATTAAAAACATTTTCCCTCGCTAAAGTACCTTACATCAATAATTGCACCTATTTTCATGTGACAATATATATTAATAAATATAATTATCATTGCATGCGTTGAGTTTTTATGGACATTTTAATAATCAAATGAAAATAAAAATTAAATCGTTTCTATCGAATTAGTTGTAATACATATAATATAGTTGTAATACGATATAGTTATTGATCTAATTGTTAGTTTTTGTAGATTTATAAAATTCATAGAATGTTTTTTTTATTTATCCACTTATATTATACTTATGTCACACGAGTATAAATATATTTATAACTCTATCCCATTTAATAAAATGTAGGTGGCTGTAAGCACAACACAAAAATGTATTTTAAATAATGTTATGATTATGAAATATACATGTGCGTATAGTTGAAAATATTACAATATTTAATAAAAGAAAATCACAAGAGAAATTTTTTTTTACATTTAACATATTCAATATATTTAACTGTATGGTTAAATATTAAAGAATCATAATAATTATTCAGTACATGTTTATTAAATACTAATACATTTTAGTTATAATACACTATATTACTATCATTACTTATTGGCTAGATAGAAACTAGATCACGTAGTATATTACGCTTATGAACAAATAAAATATTTCGTGGACTAGTTCCTAAACATAAAAAGTTAATAATAATACAAGAATTTGCTCAAGAAAATTAATTTAAAAATATTTCATCAAACTTCTTACATTTCAGACATAAAATAGTTATAATTATTTTAATAATTTAAATAATTGTTTCATTGTTAACTCAGAAGAAATTTATTTTCTTCGGGCAAACTCTTGAGTTATTCTTTTGTTTGTAGTAAGAATGTTTTGAACAACTTTTTTTCAACGTATGGTTCATACATAATGACGTAAAAAATGAAACTAAAGTATATCTTACTCGAAAATTCCAACTAAAATATAAATTATGAAAATTTATTTTACTAATGAAAAATGTATTGAAAATATTTATTATAAAATTAGTTTTACATTTTAAGCTTTTATTTTAATGCAAAAACGTCGTAATACGTCAATATTTATTTTGAAACTCGTAATATTGATGAATATAAAAAAAAAGTTCCATTTTAACTCAAAGTTTCTTTTATACACTGGCATCATTATTTCCCTTTTATGAATACAACATCAACATCAAGACTGAAAATATATACAATAGAAAGAGTATTGAAAAGTTTCCAATAGCATTTATCTCTTTTCGCAGATATGTACGTATGTTATTGTACCATATAATAATATAAAATAAATACCTACACATACATATATATATATATATATAAAATATAATATATATTCTTACACTTAATATACATTAGTTGTTAGAACATTCTTATTCTATATGAGTATTAAAGTAATATCAATAATTTGGTGAGTTATAAAGTCGGTTTATTTAATAGCATCATGGTGTAATTATTAAAAAAATACACATTTATGCATAAATGCTTAATACTTACGCTTATATGGTTCAAATAGCTTTATTGCTCACCGTTTCCCATTTTTACATTATTAAATTATTATTGGAATTCTTGTGGGTGTATTTTAGACAATGGCCGCCACAAAAAGAAACGCTGGACTGGCATCTGGAGTACCACGTCCAACACTCAACGACGAAGAGCTGGTTAGTACCGAATTGAACGTATCATATGTACTTTTCGTTATTAAAAATAGTTTATAGTATGAGAAAATTCCAATAGCGACCCACGTCTTTGTTTTTTTTCATTTTTCGGTGCCATGAATTACATAATAAATTATTACATGAAATAAATGATATATAAATACAATTAAATAGGTAATAATATTACAATTATATATATATTTATAAATATATTATTATTATTTTGTTATTATTACATTTATATATTGCATGAAGGTTTTTTTGAATTAAATTTTAAATTGTTACTCTTTTAAATTAAAGTATATGTTTTTTCACATCCTATCTCTGTTTGACGAAAAATAAATTCTTACTATTAGTACTCTTTCATTACAGTGATATTTTATGTATCTAACTCATAATAAGTACACAACTTGTATAGCAATTAATTTACGCATATTATTTTAAATAAAACTAAAATAATAAAATACTATTAATTTAATACATATTAAAATATGATAAATAAAATATATGAGTTCCATTTAATAGAGAATATATGTATATAAAAAAATATATTATTAATAGCAACATTTTTTTTAAAATAATGTCTATCCTTGTACAAATGCATTAATTTTATTTTGACGATTTTATAAAAATGAATACACTCACATTTGTATTTTTAATTATAATGAAAACTCATTAAAATATTTTATCAAGATTTACTCCAAATAGTACACAATTTATTTATTTAAATTAATTAATCCCATTTATATACATTAAGTGTACTATGTAGTGAACATACAAAAACAGTAATACCCTATTCATTAAAATTTATTTCATGTATATACCATTTATCAAATCCTATTATAATTAGACTTATTTTTCTAACATAATATCAATTGATTTTAGTTTCGTTTTGATGAGTTTCGAATTTTTTACGGATATAGTATGTAATAAAATTATGTAATAGCAAACTATAATTTCAACATTATAGAAGCATTAATTATAATTAAAAATTGAAAAATGTAACAATGAATAAAAAAAATTAAATCAAAATTATAAAGACTTTGAACGCATCTCAACACACATTTTTTGGATCATTTTTGTTTTCGTATTTAAAAATCACGTATTACTTAATGACTTTATAACGAAATAAATCAAAAAATATCTATGTTTCAATAATTTAGAAAATGCACGTGTATAAAAAAGCTTTACAAGCATTAATTTATCCAATATCTTCGACTACGCCACACAATTTCGTCTCGTGGACTGCAACTTCACCGACGTATTGTTATGAATGTGAAGGACTACTGTGGGGTATCGCCAGGCAAGGAGTACGATGTACTGAATGCGGGGTCAAGTGCCACGAGAAGTGCAAAGAGCTCTTAAATGCTGACTGTTTGCAAAGTAAGTCATAACTTCTAAAAAAGTGACTATTATTTAAATTATTACAAATGTTGCGAGTAATAATTAGGCAAAATGCGAATTATAAATATTTAGCTAAATAATATTATACCAAGCTAAAATAAACCTTGTTCACTAATGACATACATTTGTTATAAGAAGATAAAATTTTATTTAAAAAGTATGACAAATATATAAACATAATTAAAAACTTAAAGTTAAATTCAAATAAATAAACAATACATGCGCATGGTTTAAAAGTATTAAGTGCTATGGGTGTTAAAATTAATTCTGAAGTAAAAAATTAGTATTCTATTTTAATATATTATTTAAAATAAAATATAAAGGCCAACAAATAAAATTACATTTGTTACATTTCTACTGGAAATTCGATTATAAAATAGTTTTCATTAAATGCAATACTTTATTCTTAAAGTCATCAGTCTAATAATACATAAAGGTATTGGCCATTTCTTACTTCTTTACTATAGATATATCTCTTTCATTTTATTCGACTTCATTATTTCCTATAATCCGTATATATTATATACCTATATAGCTTTGACTATTAAACTTCACTTTTAAAACCCACGGGAGGATCTACCTGATCAAACTTTGTACAGCAATAACTTTAGAACTATTTGATTTTTGTTTGTGACACACTAAATGACGTATTACAATGGATCCAATAAAAATCAGTTGTAAAAAGTTCATATTTTCAAAGTTTTAGTAAAATGTATTAATAAAAAAAAAAACGTTCCAGTTTATAAATCGAGCTCATACAATCATAATATCTCGTTTATATAGGAAAGAAGAACTTTTAGTTATTTATACAATTGAAAAATTAAAACTTTTGATATTATTTTTTTATTTTTATTATTTTATTGTTACATAAAACAGGAGCAGCCGAAAAAAGTTCCAAACACGGCGCAGAAGATAAAGCAATATCAATTATACAGGCCATGAAGGATAGAATGTTGCAACGCGAACGAGATCATCCAGAAATTTTTGAACTCATCAGGTTAGTCAACAATTTAATATCATTAAAAAACGACCCATTATCCATTAACCAAACACCATCAATATACGTTTTTAAGAATAATATTGTAGGTAAATTATATAAAATAGTTATTCTACAACAAGTTGTATGATCTTCAATTCATTTAATTACCATAATGTTCCCCGTACAATGCAGGTAGCAATCACGCCTACTATGTTTTTACTTAATTTCATCGCTAAGATGTTGGTATTCAAATTTTTTTAGCGTAATGTCTATTTCTCGTGAAAAACGAAAACATTATTAATACGGTAATAATGCGAGTATTGATTTAAGATGAAAACATAATTCAGCAAAACCCATCCGATTTGGTTAATATATGCTGATTATATTACTAAACAATCTAACAATGGTTAAAAGGAAACGTGTAAACATTTAAAACGAAGATTGCGATTGTTTGATTTGTTGAACACTCGAATTTTTACGATGGATATACATTTTATTTTCTATCGTCTACTGTATATTTTATATGAATATTTCTATTTCTTATTTAATGTCATCGATTTGTCAATGCATACACAGTCCAGCTATTGTGGCAAATTTAACGACTTGTATTGTCTCCTAAGTTACTATTATTTCCGAATCACACGAACGAATAGTGTTTCAACGTATAGTAAGCCGTGTAAAAGAAATATCAACCAACATGATACATTATGTAGAGACATGAGTTCGAGTATATATCCCCGTTCACAGAAACATGGCAATCGCTGAAAAAGAATCAATGTTGGAATGAGACGCCCGCAACATATAACTCTTAAATAATCGTTTTAAGACAAATGAAATATCATCAGATTAATTCCAATCTGTTCATTATCAGATACTTCTATTACGAACAAACCGAATTATCAAATCCTGATTTAATTAAGTTGAAATGTTGTTATTAATGCGAGCTAGATAAATGAGATGACGGCCTTCGCCGGTATGGACGAAATTTTTATTAATTACTACGACAATGAAATAAATCACTAATATGTCGACAAACGAAACCACGTACATATACTCTAAACACTCTGGGCTTGACATTTTTACAAAATCAATTGAAACAAATAATGTATTACACAGATGATACTGGGTCACTTGAAAAATACAAGTACAGCAACTGGAAGAAGTTCTTCTTTATTTTAACATACTACAAGCAATTTTGGAAATAAAAAAAAATTGGTTGTTATGTGATTTTTTTTAAATTATACACAGATCAGTATTTGGCGTGGAGGAGAAAAGCCACCAGGGTCATATAAAAGCAGTGAAACAATCGGTTTTGGATGGTACTTGCAAATGGTCAGCAAAAATAGCCATCACAGGTTTGTTTTAAAAAAAAAACATAAAAAAAAGAATTTTCCATTATGAGCAGACGACTTCAAAGAGCTTTGTGTGGCTACCTTCATTGTGCTTGGTGTTGAATTTTATGAAATTGATGTTTAACTGTTTTGATATATTTAACCCTCATGTTTATTATAAGCACGAGATTTTTAATGAAAATTCTTTCAATTAACTATGATATTGTATTTTATTCAACTATTCTTGTGCATGAATTATTTTTGTACACTAATATAAATTTTTGAATTTTTTTTATAAACTTGATGTTGTTATTTCTTTATTTCTTTATTTTACTTGCTTACATCTACGATGCATTCAATAACTTTAAGAAAGAATTTTCATTCATTGAACTCTAAATATTTTTTTACTGATTTGGTTCCTTCCCTTCGTTCAATTTGTGTGTAAATATTTGTTTTTATTGTTTTGGTTTTTACGTATTTGAAGAACCATGTTTTCTGTGGAACCTGATATGCATATCGATTCTTTGGAGCAAGCGGAAGCTATCGTTCTTGAGGGCACTTCTAAATGGTCGTGCAAAATTGAAATAACAGGTCAGCGGTTAGGCTTACTAGGGTTCACTTATACTCACAGCTTAGAAATTGGAATCAAGCAAACATTTAAAAATTTCAAATCAAACTTATCACATAATTCATCGATATATTATAGTTAGCAGAAGTAAATTAAACGATGTCTTCTGAAAAAAAATTAATGCTCATTGCATGTATTTATAATTACTGTCGTTAGTGTGCACGTGCAATATATTATAAACAGCTTTAGCTTCAGCTTTAACCCATGCTTTAGAATCATTTAACCTACATTTTATACTTTCAACTATAACTTTTCATTTTTATTTTAGTAAAATGTGCTCAAGGGCTCATTGCTAAAGACAAAAGTGGCACATCAGATCCATACGTAACTGTTCAAGTAGGTAAAGTTAAAAAAAGAACGCGAACTATGCCTCAAGAACTCAATCCAGTTTGGAATGAAAAATTTTATTTGTGAGTCTGTGAATATTTAAAATAGTACAATATTATCTAAATATTTTTGAAATCAACAGTGAATGTCACAATTCTTCGGATCGAATAAAAGTCAGGGTATGGGATGAAGATAACGATCTAAAATCGAGACTTAGACAAAAATTAACCCGAGAATCTGACGATTTTTTAGGGCAAACTATTATCGAGGTATTTGTAAAATTAAACATTTTTAGATAACTGAATAACTAAAAAGCAATACTGTATAGGTTCGGACGTTATCTGGAGAAATGGACGTTTGGTACAATCTTGAAAAAAGAACTGATAAATCAGCGGTATCCGGTGCTATTCGATTACATATCAATGTAGAAATCAAAGGAGAAGAAAAAGTCGCTCCCTATCATATCCAATATACATGTCTTCACGAAAATCTATTTCACTCGTTGTGTGAGAACAACGCTGGTATAGTCCATCTACCTCAAGCTAAGGGAGAGGATGGATGGAAGTTATACTTTGAATCTCCCGCTCAAGACATTGTCGATGAATTCGCTATGAGATATGGCATAGAATCCATTTATCAAGCAATGACGTAAGATTGTCGATTGGTAATTTTAGAAACTAAATATAATTTATTTAAATAATCTCATATTCTAGACACTTCCATTGTCTTTCCACAAAATATTTATGCCCGGGTGTCCCAGCAGTTATGAGTACTTTGTTAGCAAATATCAATGCTTATTATGCCCACACGACATCTAGTTCCGCAGTTAGCGCAAGTGATCGGTTTGCAGCATCGAATTTTGGAGTGAGTTCCATCGATAATGAGTAATAATAATTATAATGTAAAAATGTATTCATCATGTTTTACAGAAAGAAAAATTTGTTAAGCTGCTCGATCAATTACATAACTCACTTAGGATAGATTTATCTATGTACAGGAATAACTTCCCAGCGTCCAGTCAAGAAAAACTAATGGACCTTAAATCAACTGTAGATTTGTTAACTAGTATTACATTTTTCAGAATGAAGGTATTTTTTCTTTTCTTTTTTTTTTCTTAACACAATGGCACACAGATAACCATACAATTTTTACCTAGGTTCAAGAACTATCAAGTCCACCGAGAGCTAGTACTGTTGTTAAAGACTGCGTTAAAGCATGTCTAAGATCGACTTATCAATTTCTTTTTGCCAACTGTTATGATTTATATGGCAGAGAGTATCAGGTATTTTTGAATTTAATTTTCTTTTATGAACGATTGTTAGATGCTCAATCGTTGTTATTTCTTTACTTGAAACGACAACATAGTTTACATTTAGTATACGATTGTCTATAAAATATAATATGTGTAATATATTGTAAATAATAATTTTACTTCAGATTTTATTTTAAACGCAACATAATATTAGTCAGGTATTATTAATTGAAATACTATTTTGTTTTGAAGACTGATCCAAATGAGAAAAGAGATGAAGATACGGGACCAAAATTAGACGACTTAGGATTTTGGGATAAGCTTGTAGCACTCGTTGCATCCGTAATTGAAGAAGATCGTAATAGTTATGCACCTGTTCTTAGTCAATTTCCAGCAGAACTGAATATAGGACAGGTAAAATGTTTAATTTTGTACAATTCATATAAAATATACAAATATATATCTGTTTGCTCAACCAAAATATCTTCTGAAGCTGTCCGCAGCCACGATGTGGAGCTTTTTTGCGGTAGACATGAAGTATGCGTTAGAAGAACATGAAACGCATAGACTTTGTAAGACTTCAGCATACATGAATCTTCATTTTAAAGTAAAATGGCTATTTACTAATTACGTAAAGGACGCACCGCCATATAAAGATGCTATACCCGAGTACCCATCGTGGTTCGAACCATTTGTTATGCAATGGCTAAACGAAAACGACGACGTATCTTTAGAATACTTACACGGAGCTTTTAACAGGGACAAAAAAGATGGGGTGAGCGTAATTTTCTTAAACTATGATCGGAAAATATTTTAAACTTTATCTTATAATTATAGTTTCAAAGAAGTTCGGAACATGCATTATTTTCTAACTCTGTTGTGGACGTATTCACTCAGCTTACACAATGTTTTGGGGTCATATCAAAATTGGAATGTCCCGATCCCGAGATATCTAATCGATACATGAAAAGACTTGCAAAAACAATTGTCAAAGTGTTATTGGCATACGTAGATATAGTTCAGAAAGAATTTGATGCCAAAGAGTTAGACGAAAGAACGGTAAATTTTAAATATTTTACAGTCATTGAGTAATAAAATATTTATTAAATACATATTTTCAATTTTTAGGCTTGTATATTAATGAACAACATCCAACAATTAAGAGTGCAATTGACGAAAATGTTTGAATCTATGGGTGGAAAGCAATTAGAAGAAGATGCTACAGATATTCTAAACGACTTACAAACACAATTGTTGAAAGCCCTAGATGAGCTATCTGGGAAATTTGGCAAAAGGTATTTTTAAATGACTTATTAAAACAATATTTTTCATCTGCATAGATGAGTATTATACTCGCATAATATGATAGTGTAATATGATAAATAATGATATAATATAATTCAAATTATATACAATAATTATTATTTCTTCCATATTTCATTGGTGGAATTCTCTGTTTTGATATATTTTAAAACTTTAAATAAAATTTTCTTAGTTTGGAACCACAAATAAAAAAGAGCGTCAAAGAACTTGGTGAATTATTGCAAAGTATCAAAGGTGGAAGCCAAAACCCTCAGCAAGTATCTATGATGGAAGTAGACGAAATATTGCGGCCATTGATGGATTTGATGGATGGCTCCCTATCATTATTTGCTCAGACTTGTGAGAAGCCTGTATTAAAACGAATTCTTCGTGAGTTATGGAAACTCGTAATAAGGATATTAGAGAGATCAGTAGTCCTACCTCCAATGATGGACAAAAGCGTAAGGGACATATTATAATAAAAATAATAAAACAATATAGTATTACCGATTAAAAAATATAATGTAATTTTTATTTATGAATTATCACTAATTTAGATGATATTAAAGAACCTCAGTGAAAATGCTAGATCACTAGCAGCGAATGCTAGAATTGAAGATATGTCTAGATTAATTAGAAACCATATGGCTGGAAAGCAAGATGTTAAAAATGCTTTAACAGGAGTTATGGTAATCATATAATTTATTTTATAATAACTCCATTTAAAATTAGTTTTATTATTAGGATATGGAAAAGAATTTGAATCCTAAGCAATGTAGAGTATTAGAAGCTGCACTGAAAACCATTAAGACTTATTTCCATGCTGGAGGAAATGGACTAAAAAAGAAATATTTGGATAAAAGTTCAGATCTCTTATCTTTATGTTATGCTTTATCGCTTTACACAAGATCTACAGATGAACTTATTAAGACATTTGTACTGTCTCAATTACATCAAGGTATATTTTCAGATATTATTTATTCCCTTTTCGAAAAATAATAGTAAAATTATTTTTATATTAGATTTAATGAATTAATTAATGTTTAATATTTTTATTTAATAAAGTTCCACAAAAAAATGATCCTTTACCTCGACAACCATCACTCATGAGTGGGACTGAAGTCAAAGACGAAATGGACGAAATGGATTATGATGAAGATGATGAAACTGAAGAAGAAGAAGCATTAGATGAAGCTGAAGAAGATGTAAAATCAATGGGAAGTCGAATGGAAAAATTGTTTGAAATTTCTAGAAGACCCTTGCAAGGTAAATTTCAATTTTTCTATAAATAGATGTATTTAGTATACAGAAAATAATAACAAAATACAACATATATTATTAATATTATTAATTAAATACATTATTATATATATATATATCGCTAATTATGGCAATATTAATAAAAAACAATATCAATATCTTAATACAACAGAGTGTACAATATTTTTTGTTATTCCATCTTTCGCCATCACAAACAAACTGAATGATTCGAGAGCACGCCACGTATAATTATCCGTGTGAAAAACGTTATGTGCTCAAATCTAAGCCACATAACAGACATCGTTTATATATATATATATATATATATATATATATATACAGTGTGTAAACGCTAACTGAGAACACACAATATCATTGCGTAGAGACTTGAAATTTGAATTCTGATTTTTTGTTGATTTTTATGACATAAAAATGTGTATTTTTACGAGTTTTTAATTTATTTAACTTAATAGACACGCGCATGCGCAGTACAACTTTTTCCTAAATGACAACCACCTATTTTAACCACTAATTATTTTTCGCCTGTTTTTTTAATGAATTTTCACTTTAATTTAGGTATGTTAATTTAGTATGTTAATTTAGGTATTATAACTTACAGCAGAAAATAAGCAGTAAATAAGCAATAAACGTTAATAAGCAGGCATGTTGTTTATTTCGTGACATTTAATGAATCTATTGGAATTTATCAACAACAAATAAAGAATTCATGCGGTGCGCTGAATCAAGTTTTGTTCACAGAAGACAACAATTGAACAATTTATACGTTAAATTAATCAATAAATAAATAAACTTGTAACTTGAATAAAAATTAAACTTATTGTTAGTTATTGATAAATTCCAATAGATCCATTAAATGTCACGAAATAAACAACATACCTGCTTATTTACGTTTTTTCTGCTATAAGTTATAATACATACCTAAATTAAAGTGAAAATTATTTAGTGGATAAAATTATAATAACGTGTAAATATCACTTTAATAAATAAAAGTGAAAATATCAAACCTTAACAATTCTAGAATAATTATTTTCAGAGTTACAGTCAAAAAAATTAAAAATCACACGCATTTTACAGTATTTTGGTTAAATTGCTGTAACTTGGTCAATTTTGGACTTATAAAGTTGGTTTAACTACCAAAATTCATCAAAAAAATAATTAGTGGTTAAGATAGGCGGTTGCCATTTAAGAAAAAAAAAGTTGTACTGCGCATGCGCGTGTCTATTTAAGTTAAAAAAAATTAAAAACTCGTAAAAATACACATTTTTTTGTCATAAAAACCATCAAAAAATCGGAATTCAAATTTCAGGTCTCTACGCAATGATATTGAATGTTCTCAGTTAGCGTTTACGCACTATATATATATAATTAAAACTTATATTTTCTAAACTACTTAAAAGCGTTTTTTTTTTACTAGGTTTAGTTGCCAATACAATATTTGAAATTTCACACTTAGTACAATCGAGTAAACATAAATACTTAAATAGTATTCCCTTATAACTTATGATTTAACTGAAGTGCTCATAAAAAAGCTCTAAAAATGCATTATATAAAGCTTCTATATATTAAATAAGTTTAAATATAAAATGTTTAAAGTCGTTATGACAGATTTATAATAGATTTCTTACGAATTTAAATTAATATAAAAGTAGAACTCTGGATAATATTATAGTATAACACATAGTTTAAATATAATTTAAAATTATTATTCTTTCTTTTTTTGATTATATAATAATGAAAAATAATTAATATTTTGATATGAATATTAAAAAGAAACAGATTTAAATATTTTAATTTTATACGGAATTTTTAATATATGTATTTAATTTTTAAATTTATAATTAGAAAACTACGTATACGAAGAGCCCTATGGAGAAATTTCTATCAACGTTTATATTGAAACTCATCCAACGAATAACGAATTTAAGCTAACCGTAACAGGTATGTAATAATATTATGTATTTATCAAGTTACTTAAATTTTTATTTATATTTTTCTAAAAAAATATGTTCATGCAATCGTGGTTTAAAAGTTATCATTTACATCGATGTTGATTGTTTTACACCTAAACGCTATAAAGTTTAATATTAAAGAAACAAAATTGCAAGAAATATTTTAAAATAATGTGTAAGATTATTATCATCAGAACTGCAGATTTCATTGATTAAGTATTTAATTAAAAATGTTTAAGCTATTATGGTATGTTATATTAAAAAAAAACCAATTACCTAACCATAGTTATATTTTATTTCATTCACGGAATGTTCATTAATAAACCTTATACTAGGTGTGTTTACTAATGGCTATTATATTGATTTTTTAAGTAAATAACACTATGGGTTTACAATGATTAATGAAAATATATTTACTTAAAAGTTAAAACCATGTTTATGTTATACATCCTTTATTTTTCTCTTTGTATCAGATGTTAACATAAAACAAAACTAAAAGAAGATAGAAAACATACTGAACTCATACATTTTACAATTGTTGCTTTTAGTACTGATACCTTCAATAAAAAAAGCAAAAGCATTTATTTCTCTATATAAAATAACACAATCTAGTTTGTTTTATCGAAATACAAAGAATCACTTAAGTCTAAATACAACTTGTAACATTTCACTTATTTCTTAGTATTGCTGATTTCAATCAATTCATTTTGAACGCATTTACGTTATGTACGTTTTACACACATACACCAAACATAGTTTTGTAGACAAATATATTTAAAAGAAAAAGTGTTCAAATATCAATATCATGATGAAACCAACATTCAGATGTGACCTGGAAATAAATATCCACACCATTAAATTACATTTGACATTGGACAATTATTGGATAATTGGACATTTACATTTGACATTGGGTTTTTTTTTCATTTTAAAAATAAAAATAATAACTAAATAATATTATTTAGTTGTTGTGCTGATGTTTAAATTTTTAAATTTTAACTTTAACACGTTATGGTCATTACTAATAAAGATGATGATTATGATAATAATAATAATAATAATAATAACAATAAAAAATTGTTATTATATAACAGTGGTTGCTGCCAACACGTTGGTCTGGCCGACAACTGGTATGTTTCGTCCGTTTGTCGAAGTTAACCTTATTGGACCAAGACTAGCGGACAAAAAGAGAAAACAGTCGACAAAGAGTAAGTCGGGTAGCTGGAGCCCTAGATACAACGAAGCGTTTGTCTTGTAAGTATAACTGTGACACTATAGATATTTTCTTTTTTTACCGCAATCATTGACTACTTTTGTATGATGATGGTTTTTTTTTTCATGCACAGCTCAATCAGTGCAATTGAAGATCTGGAATGTTACGAACTGCATTTTTGCGTGAAAGACTACTGTTTTGCCAGGGAAGATCGGCTAGTAGGTGTAGCGGTCTTACAGATGCGACATGTTCCCATAATGGTAATGCATAAAGTGTATTAGCAAAACTATCTTCACCAATTATTTAATATTATAAAATTACCACTTTGTTTCTCGTAAAGGTCCGCACGGGTGAATGGTTAGGACTCGGTAGACGGATACAAATGAATGAGACTGGATGGACGATATTGCGGATACTTTCACAAAGGTATAACGATGATGTAGCTAAAGAATTTGTGAAGCTAAAATCAGAAACCAGACAGGAAGACCAATCGTCCGTGCAGGGGTCGTAAATATAATAAATAACATGGGTATTCATTGCCGACAGTCTTCCACTGGAAAAATATTCATAATAAGACTAGTTAAACTAATTAAAGTTACTGTAAAAAGTAAAATATAAAAAAAAACCCCAAAAAAAAAAAAAAATGGAAAGCGATCAAGAGTTGTGAATAATAATATTTAATGAAGTGCTCAGAAATGAAAAAAAACATGTTCTTTTTATAATTAATTTTATTGTTGTCGGAAAAATATTAGCATTCATTTCGGAATGAAACAATAGCATTGGTCTTTTTCGTAGTAATTTTTCATACACAAAATTAATATACATTCATAGTAATACATTTTAAAATAAAAATATGTTAAAAATTGACCAACATTTGAGTTTCAAACAAATCAACGGGACCATTCTCAAATTAAAAATTAATTATTCAATTGAATACATTATTTTGGAATGATTATAAAACTTTCTATACAGTGGTTACCTAAGTATCTAAATAGCGTAGCATTTGGAGAGAATAGAGTTAACACCACTGATCTAAAGTTTTCATTAAAAATTTAAATATTTAATTATTTTTGTTCTAAATTCATAGTACAATATAGATAAATTCAATGATACTGTTATATGGATACGATAAGTGTCATTCTATGTTTACAGAAATCTACCTACTATATAATACGTTATTGTAAAGCGCTCTAACACTTTTGTTTTTGTCAAGCCAATATTTTTATATAAAATAGATGTTACTATTTTGAACACCTGGTATAGTAATAATATTATATTTCTCTTGATACGGATGTAACTGAACATCGACCACCGCAACAATACAAGATATCGATACAATCGATAATTAGGTGTTGGTGTTATATTTTTTCTTTCTCAAACACCCATACATTTATTATTTTTAAATCTAAGCAAGCATGTTTATTGAGAGTATACTTAACAACAGCAGGTTAAACTAAAACGTAAAATACGGTTTGTAAATCGAAATTTCATTCTGTCGAGTATTAGTTATAATTAATTATGAAACATACACTCGTTTTTCGATACTTTTACGCTAATCGTATCTATTCCATCAATCTGAACTGTAAATGTATTATATATATTTTTTGGATTTGATAGTAAAAAATAATACGAAATAGCGGTCATTTTATTGTGAAACGCTTAAATTTATTTAAAAACATCAAAAATAATGCTATGATTAAAAATCTATCGTTACCTATTTAACCTATTTAAATGCTTTGAACTATGCAAATTTAAGAATAATGTTTTAACATTAATTACATCTGTTATATATATATATATATATATTTGTCTATGTGTGTGAATGCGTGCGTGCGTGTATGTATGTGTATGTGTAAAATATAAATATATATTGACTAATAACGTCTTCCAAAATATAATTTAATTTTCTTATAGTGCGCATCCATTTGATTAATTTCGATATTATTCGTTTTATTTTTATATTCTTTCCATTTACTTGGTTGGTTTCTTGTAATTTTTATACTTCTTAGTACCTATCTTTAAAATAATTTTCATTATCCTCCTTTAAATACTATATCGTTCTTGATTTGTTTTCAAAACTATTTGAGTGTTCTGCAAAATGTAATATTATAGTACTGTTTTGAAACTTCCAAACGAACCAAGCATACAAGATAGTATAAACGTATCGGGTATAAAAATAATAAAAATAGGCCTCACATTTATTATAAATATTATATACTCTTATTCCATAATTGCATGATTAACTTAATAATATTCAACATTTTTGGGAAACACCTATTTTTTTATTCGATAGGTTATAATTTATATTATATCCGTCCTAATATCCAATTATGTTGGTCAAAAGGGTTTCACATAGTATAATATTGTTTTCACAGCAATAATTTGTTCGTATTCGTATTGTAAAGAAAAACCCCAACGTTGAATATTATTTATAAAATAACATAAAATGTGATATAACATCGATGTATTCAAATTATTTTTTATCAATTGTACTGTACATTAATGTTAAAAACCAATATTTATTGATACTATATGTATGTATATTATGAATTAACTATTTAAGCTAGCAAAAACTATTGTGAACCGCATAATGTGCAGGTGGCCTACATTGAAAACTACGAAATATTGTTTCATAAGTTACCTTTCAAAGTCCTATCCAAAACATTTGTTATATTTACTATGTTAATTTCTCAAGCCCAACCAACCATACCATACATATCGATCAATCGTTTCTTGTTTTATGTTGCTAAATAATTATTATTAGTATTGAGCTGATGATATTAATCTATTAATTGCTATAATCGTGTTTGTAAGTTCAAGTATAGGGGCCTTTATTTTTTATATAATATATAACCTAGATGTTAAATATTTTAGTCGAATCTGTTAAACTTCGGTTTTAGATTGTTAACAAACATTTACTATATATCGTCATTATGATTAACCAGGGTAAACGTATTAAGCAATGTGTTGTTTTTGTATCAATATTTTATTGTAATTATGCACTTATAATAATTTTTTAAATTTTTTTTTTTTATATACCAAATTCGGTTTCTATATAAACATTTATAAAAAAAAAAAAAAACTAAAAAAAAAAACAAAAAAAAAATAATGTAAGACAATATGATAATATTGTTTGAACCGAAATTATATATTGTGTTATAACTGCCCATAACGTAATTTCGACGTGTTTTCAAACGGTGACTATGAAAAATTATTAACTTGTCTCTGCTCCTCTATTATCTTAGTCTTATACTTGATATTATTATTTTTGATTTCATTCTAAACGAGTAAGTAAATAATATTGTTATATTTGATTTGTAAAATTATATGAAATCAACAATAATACCTAATCATCTATATTTAAGCTGAATAAAGTGCGCTTTTTGTCTATACTTCCTAATTTAAGTCCTCCTCGTTGTTTTTAATTTATATATACTAACGGTGTGGCGTAGTAATACCAATAATAATAATAATAAAAACAACCACAACATCAACAACAATAACAGCATTTGGATAACATACGTAATTGAATTATTATTGTTATTATTATAATTATTATAATTATTATTATTACTATTATTATTGCTATACTCCTCCGAATCTACCTTATTTATACTACTCTATTATTATTATATATATATATGAATATATTATTATATTTTTGATTTATTGGAGAATTCCTTTTTAAAATTCATATCTCTTGTACTTTTTAAACATATTATTATAACGTGTACATGTATAATACAATAGAACCATTTGTACTATTATTACTTGTTAAAATATACTGAGGTTTTTATTATATGATATAATATAATATTTACATACACACACACACACATATTACATATATTACAATGTTTGTTTGGTGTTTTCGGTTGTACGTATTAGATTTACGCATATCGGATTCTGTAGAGCAAATAAGATTCTGCACGAAAAAGAATTGCCATTCGATCTAGATTAGTTGCTAACAAGAAGAAAATTGCACGTTTTCCGTTACAATTGTTGTCAGACGTGATTACCATCTCAACTATGTATTATATATATCAAATGACATCGCATAGCCGTTAACCTAACCTAACCCGCTATAATGTTTTTCTCACTATATACCAACATATTATATAGGATGTCTTCGAAATACGCAGGATTTAAATCTGCTATAAATTAAATTTATTTCTATTAAAAAAACAAAACAAATATATCATTCTCTTCAAAAGTGAAAAACAATATCGGGCATATAACCCTCCTATCTATACAGGTGATTATTATTTCCATAAAATTTACCATCACTCGATCACACATTACCCCATCAAGTTAGTTGCAACGAACTCGTCCAAAACTTGTCCTCATGAGAACACGACGAATTTCTTGCTTAAGTTCCCAGACATTTCAAACTTTGTTCTGGGAAATTCGTGACTTAGTGGATTTTCATAAGAAAAAATCACACGGCGTCAAGTCACAAGATCGAGATGGGTAGTTTTGGCTATGCAACGAGATTAATCTGTCCGGGAACTTCTCACACAGCAGAGAGATTGTTTCTCTTGAAGTGTAACAAGTTGTGCCGTCTTGTTGTAACCATATAAGAATATCTGCTGAGCTCAGTAATTTTTTTTTTTATCTCATTTGGATCAAATTAACATAAAAAATGTACGGTTTCAACTTGTCACAAGAGAAACTATCACTCGGCTGCGTGAGAAGTTCCTGGAAAGACTAATCTCGTTGCATGAAGACCAAAGCTATCCACTTCGATCTTGTGACTTGACGCCGTGTGATTTTTTCTTATAGAAATCCACTAAGTAACGAGTTTTCCAGAACAAAGTTCGAAATATCTGGGAACTTAAGCAAAAAATTCGTCGTGTCCTCATGAGGACAAGTTTCGGACGATTTCGTTACAACTAACTTGATGGGGCAATGTGTGATCGAGTGATGGTAATTTGTATGGAAAGAATAATCGCTTGTAGGACTAGTAGGAAGGGTCATATACCCGATATTGTTTTTCACTGTTCATTTTTAATTTCTCCTGAAGAGAAATTATATATTTATCATGAATTTAAAAAGCATTTAATACCAAATGATATGTTTATGTTTTTTTAAAAGAAATAAATTTAATTTATAGCAGATTTAAATCCTGCGTTCTTTTTAGATACCCAATACATTCATATATGTTATTCTAAACGTACGTACATAATATTTTCTAGGAACAACAATTATAATTCATTCGGATGGAACGAGATAATAACGTTAAAAGTCGATTTTCCGTGACTGGGGGGAAAAAATAACAGATCACATTATGTAGTGATTTACGAATAATGTTCAAAAACCCATTCAACCACAATTTGACATGTGTTTGTTAAAAGCTATGAATCATTTCAACGTTGCGGATAAAAGCATATAAGATGCATATGTGACAGATCAATGTCACAGTATGTGATACTATAAAGTGATTAATTTTTCGCTCGGAAATCTTTATATATAGTATAATATTGTAATACACGCATATATGCGCAGAAAGAAGAGATATTTTTTCGTTATTATCATTGTATAGACATAGCAATCGGGATATTTAGGGAGTTCGTCCATCCTCAACCCTCTTTCTACATTTTTACCATGAAAAAAACGTATACAAATATCCAT